CCTTGGCGATGTCCTCGACGGGCATGGTGATGAGCTCCTTCTGCCGGCTCTCGTCGTAGGTCACGACGGCCAACGCGCTCGACTGCTGCAGGTCCGGGTGGCAGTAGACCGTCTCCGCGTCGAGGGGCGGCGCCAGCACGGACCCGACGCGGTCCGCGTGGACGTCGTTGCCGACGTTCGCCGCGACGATGTGGTCCATGCGCAGCGCCATCTCCGCGCTGATGTCCACGGGGTCGCAGGCCCTCCCGTCGCCGACGACGGCGAACTCGCCGTCCGGCAGCGCCGCGGCCGCGGCCCGGGACTCGCGGAGCGCCGCCGCGATCAAGGGGCCCTCGTGCGACTCCGCGACGGCCTCCTCGCGGTCCTTAAAGCGGCCGACGAAGCCGGCGAACTCCTCGACGACGGCGGGGCTCAAAGCCGGCGGCATCTTCTCGTAGCGCCGCTCGAGGGCGACCGTCGGGTCCTCGTGGAACCGCGCGAAGTCGATGACGTCCGTGAACTTGGGCGACGCCTCGGCCTCGGCCTCGCGGTTCACGGCGTCGAGGTCGAGGTGCCGGTCCGACTTCGCGACGGAGGAGAACTTGGTGAAGGACGTCTGGGACGACTCGAGGGACTGGAGCTCGTGGAGCGACCCCTGCTGGTCGCCCTCGTGCTCCTCGTGGCTGCTCGACCGGCTCCGCGGCTCGTCGACGGACTCCGCGCGGCTCCGCGGCTCCTCCAGACTCCCGCTCCGGCTCCGGCCCTCCAAGCTCCCGCTGCGGCTCCGGCCCTCGTCGGACTCGGGCTCCGACGCCGCGCGTTTTCGCCGCTTCTCGGGCTTCTTCTTCTCGGCGAGGTGCGCGCCCGTCCACGGCGCGCGCTCCGTCTTCCGCCGCCCGCTGTGCGGCGCGTCCGGGAGGTCCTTGATCAGCGCCATGGCCGACGGCTGCTGCTTCTCGCCCAGCGCCTCCGCGAGCTCCGCGGTCATGACCATGTCGAACTCCTCGATGCCGTCGTCGACGGCCTCCTTCTTCTTCACGAGGCCCATCGCGTCGCGCTCGACCTGGGGCTTCTCCACGTCCGGGTAGTCCGCCTCGAGCTGGCGCTTGAGGCGCTCGATCTTCCGCAACGCGATCTCCTCGGGCGTCGGCTTGACCTTCTCCTTCTCCTTCTTGCGCAGGTCCTGCGCGTACGGCAGGCCGTTCAGGTGGTCCCAGATGAGCTCGTTCGTCCGGTCCGGCGGCTTGATGAGCTTGTTGAAATTCGTCCGCTTGAGCAGCGACACCTTGGGCCACTCGGGCCAGGCGATCTCCGCGAGCACGATGGTGAACGCCTCGACCTCATCCTTCTCCGCCTCGTCGTCGTCGCTCGACGCCTCGGCGATGCTCTCCTTGAGAGACGCCTCGTTGAAGAGGTCGTCGTCGGGCGACGCGAACTGGGTGGCGACCATCGGTCACGGCGGCGCCGCGGAGGGCTGCCGCCCTATCATTTACACGACCATGCTGCCCAGCGCCGGTACCGTCGAGGCTTTCATCATCACTGCACGGCTGGCCTCGCTCAAAAACTTTACCGAGGCGAAATCGAGCTGCGGCGACCACTGCCGCTGGCCGCGAGGCGCGAAGACCCGCGCGTGTAACCCCGCTCGTTACCCGTGTGCGCACGACCAGCCTCCGCCGCGCGCGCCGCTCGTCGACCACCATGTCGGCGAGCACGCTCACGGACGCGGCCAAGGAGCGGCAGAAGTCCAAGGAGCTGAAAAAGATCATGGAGGCCATGCTCGACCGGTTGCGCTGCCGCACGCTCGTCACGGACGGCGGCACGGAGCACGCGAGCTTCCCCGACGAGGGCCTCTGCGTCCTCAAGGTCATGGGCTCCGGCGGGCGCGAGATCCCCTGGCCCGCGTGGCTCGTCGCGCGCGGCCTCGGCACGTGGTCGGGCAAGGGCGGCACGCGCGGCGGCGCGGCCAAGGCCGCGGGGCGCGACGACGGCCTGCGGAGCGTCTGCTGCTACGGCAGCGGCTGGCAGCTGCGCGTGCCCGAGTCGGAGCTCCACGACTACGACCCGGCGATCGCGCGGAAGAACGTGCACATGGGCGGGCGGCTCTACCGCGCGGCGCTCGCCGAGGCGGAGGCGCGGCGCGCGCTCGGCGAGGACGACGGCGAGCTCGCGTCCTTCTCGTCCCTCGTGGCGCAGAATCTGGACGAGTGCCGGGACCCCGTGCTCCTCGGCCGCCTCTTCAGCGAGCACGAGCGCCGCATCGAGGAGACGCCGACGGTCGGCGACGTGCTCGCCGTGCGCTGGAACGAGGACGACTGGTGGCCCGCGCGCGTCGTGAACGTGGACTTCAACGACGTCGAGGTCGAGTACGACGACGACCTGAGGACGCGCGAGACCGTGGTCCGCGGCGACGAGATCTGGACGACGGACGTGCGGTGCATGGGCGACGACCGCGAGGCGACGTTCGACGCGCGCGACGCGGCGCTGCTCGACGGGGGCGACTTCGGCCTGGGCGGCACGTTCCTCGACTCCGACGACGACGCGCCCAAGGCGCCGCGCGAGCCGCCGGTCTACAAGACGGACAGCGAGGAGGACGCGTCGGACGACGGCCGCGGCGAGCCGGGCGAGCCCTACAAACCCAAGGCGAAGCGCAAGGCGCCCAAGAGTGCTTCCGCCGCCGGCGACGACGGCGAGAAGAAGCCGAAGAAGAAGCGGCCCAAGGGCGAGGCGCGGCCCAAGAAGGCGCCGAAGATCCACCTCGCGTCGGAGATCGCGGTCCGCCGCGCGCAGTGGTCCGTCGGCGCGCGCGCGCCCGTCGTCGTCGAGGAGCGGCAGGATCGGCCGCCGCACGCCGAGCCGGGCGAGCCAGAGATTATAGCGCTCGCCGGCGACCCGTCCCTCCCCAAGTGGAAGCGCGCGCTCCTGGCGCGGGGCGAGTCCGTCGGGGCGGCCTTTCCCGCCGCCGTCGCCGCCGCCGTCAAGAAGCCCCCGAAGCCCAAGGCCGCCGCGAGCGGCGGCCACCCGCCCCAGCGCGGCGCGACGACCATGGGCAAGGCGCGCGCCGCCGCGGCGCGGCCGAGCGCGCTGTCGCTCCTCGGCGCGATCCGCGCGCCGTCCGCCGCGACGCCCCGGGCCGAGCTCCCGTCGCCCGCGGCCGCGGCGGCCAAGCTCGCGACGACGAACCAGAATCACAACAGCGCCATCGCCCTCGCGCAGCAGAAGGCCCGCGCCGTCGAGGCCGCCATGCTCAACGCGGACCGGGCCGTGCCGCCGCCGCCGCCGCCGCCGGCCGCGCCGGCGCCCGACAGCGACGACGACGACGCGTCGTTCACCGAGGCCGACTACGAGCGGCCGCCCGACGAGCCCAAGCCCAAGAAGAAGACGTCGAGCGCGCTGCCCCCGGGCTGGGTCGCCAAGTGGTCCGAGCGGAAGCAGATGTACTACTACGTCCACAAGGCGCGCGGCGAGACGCGGTGGAACAAGCCCAAGGACCGCGAGGACAGGAAGGTCAAGCGCGAGCCGTCGGGCAACCGCGCCGCGCCCGGGTCGCCCAAGGAGGAGTCGGCCCTCGACGCCGCGCGGCGCACGCTCGCGGCCCTCGAGTCGACGCTCGTCAAGCCCGCCGCGCCCGCGCCGCCGCCGCCGCCGGCGCCGCCGGTCGAGGTCGACGTGCCCTACCTCGCGCCCGAGGCCGCGCCGCCGCCGCCGCAATGGAGGCCGCCGGCGGCGGCCCTCGCCAGCCTCGGCGGGGCGCGCCCCTACGCCGCGGCCGCGCCCCCCTACGCCGCGGCCGCGCCGGCCTACGGGGCCGCGGCGCCGGCCTACGGGCAGCAGCAGGCGGGCGGCGACGTCTCCATGTGGGACGAGTCGGCCCTCTCGCAGCTCGACAAGCTCGTCGCCGGGCCGAACTACGGCCAGCCCGCCTACCCGCCGCAGCCGGCCTACGGCCAGCAGCAGCCCCGCTACGGCTACGGCCAGCAGCAGCCCCAGCAACCGCGCCGGGGCTTCAGCCAGCGGCCGCCCCAGCCCCGCCAAGCAACGCGGCGGGGCGCGCCGGGCGGCGGCTCGCGGCGCCCCCCGGGCCACTCGGGGCCCTACGTCCGGCGGGGCTAGTCTCTCTCTAAGTTCACGCGAACTTCAAAAGTTGAACAGCACCTTCAGGGCCGACGACACGAACGCGGCGGCCAGCACGAGCACCATGCCGAGGGCGACGTGCAGCACCGTGGACGGTTCGGCCTGGACGGCGGCCGCCGGCTTCGAAGCGGCGACAGCCGGTTTGGCCTCTCTCGGCGGCCGCGTCGCCGCGACGACGGACGGAGCCTCCTTCGGCGTCGCGGGCGCCTCCTTCGCCGGCGCCGCCGCGGGGATCACGGATCGTGGGCTCGGCTGGAGCGTCGGCGCCGGAGGCGTCGGCGGTGTTGGCGGTTTCGGCGGCTCCGTCGCCGCCGCGGCGTCGTCGACCTCGAAATCGACCGCGTCGTCGTCGTCGCGGCTCTCGGGTCGGAGGATCGACTGGCGCTTGATCGAATCCTGGCGCACGAAGTGGTTGTCCTGCGACGAGGCCCGGCCGAGCTTCTGGATCTCCTCGAGGCTCTTGCGCCGGACCTTGGTCCGCGGCGCGCGCTTCGGCGTCGGCGACGGCGACGGCGACGTCTCCTCGGCCGCCGGCGGAGGCGGGTCGTCGTCCTTCTGCTGGCTCAGGGCGCGCACGCGGCCGGAGTTATTCTCCATGAGCTGGGCCACGCTGGGCCGCCGCGTCTTCGTCCGCGTCTTCGACGGGCTGGCCTCGACGCTGCTCGTGATGGAATCGCGGACGCGCCCCGTGCCGTGGAGGTCGCGCAGGACCGGGTCCTTGATCGTGTCGGGCTCGACGGGCCGCGGCTTCGCTCGAAAGAACCCCATTGCGTGGGCTGCCGAGAGCTCGAAGGGCTGCCGAGCGCGCTCGAACGAGCGGCAGCTCGAGCTCCACTTCTGGGAGTTTTTGCTGCAACTACGAGTCATGTTGCACCTCAACATTACCATGTTCACTCGTCGCGGCGGAAGAAGACGCGTGCGCCGGAGATGGAGAAGAAGAGGAGCTCGTTCTCGCGCTTCGCCGCGTGGACGCGGCGCGCCGTGAGCTGGAGCGTCGACACCGCGCGCGCGGCCTCCTCTTCCTCGTCGTCGTCGTCGTCCTTGGGCGCGCTCGCGCCGCTGAGGAAGCCGAAGGTCGACGACGCGGCCTTGCGCGCCTTCTCCTTGGCCTTGGCCTTGGCGGCGCGTTTCGCGAGGTTCTCGGCGAGCTCCGCCTCGTCCGCGAGGAGCTTGGCCTTGACGCGCTCGAACCAGTGGAGCGAGTCGAAGCGCGAGCCCTGCTCGAGGATCGCCAAAACGTAGGCGACGCCCACGGCGAAGCCGTCATCCGTATAATAGGCCTCCTTGGACCGGTTCTGCTTGAACATGCGGTCCTTGGCGACGAGGGAAGCCTCGACCCAGGAGAGGCAGAGCGCGGGCACGATCGTGTAGAAGTTGTCGAGGTGCGCGTGGTCGCCCGCGAGGAGCACCTTCTTGAAGACGTTGACCAGCACCTTGAAGTAGTCGCGGCCCTCGGCAAAATTTTTGCTCAGCGTCGCGATGACCTCGCCGAAGTTCGCGGCCGCGGCCTTGGTGCGCGGCGCGAAGCCGTTCGTCGACGATTCCGCCGCGGGCTCCGCGGTTTCCGCGCCGTCGCCGGCGGGCGGCGCCGCGCCGTCGGGGTCGCGCCAGGCGTCGCCGGCCGCGGTTTTAGCGAGCTCCGCGGCGTCGTCGAAGTCGGGCACGAAGCGCGCGGCGTCCGCGCAGAACTCCGCGCCCGCGGAGCGGACCATGCGGACGTAGCCCAGCGCGTTGCCGATCTCCGTGATGAGCACGCGGAAGTGGTCCAGGAAGGACCGGCCGTCGTCGCCGACGCCGAGCTTGCGCACGTCCTTGGCGAACTTCGCCGCGCGGTCGTAGGGGTACATGGCGTCGCACGACTCGCGGTGCTTCCGGAACCAGCGGCGCTCCTTGGACAGGTGGGAGCGGATGTAGTCGTCGTAGAGGAACTGGTTGAAGACGTGGAACTTCGTGGCCAGGAACTGGTACGTGTAGTTCACCGTCGTGTTGAGCACGCCGAGGCCGTGCTGCTTCAGGGACGCGGCGATGGACCGGATGTTGATCGTGCGGATGTTCTTGGAGCCGCGGTCCGGGCGCCGCTCGACGAAGTTCTGCTGGTTGAGGTTGTAGGAGAAGCGGCTCACGAAGACGTCGATGTTCTGCATGATGCGCAGCACGTCGAGACCCACGTCGAGCGACCCCATGGGCAGGTGGTTGTCGCGGAGTGCGACGCCGTAGGTCTCGAGGCAGAGCTGCTTCATCTCCGCGTAGGTGCTCCAGTCGTGGAGGGCGACGACCGTCAGGTCGTAGAAGACCTTCTCGAGGTAGCGCTGGAGCCGCCGCTTCACGTCGAGGCGCCGGCCGAGGACGCGGAGCGGCGGGAGCACGAGCGCGTCGACGACGCCCGGCGACGGCTCCGGCAGGGGCAGCGACGCCGCGGCGTCGCCCGTGCGCGGCGCGGCGGCCCTGGCCGCGTCGACGCGGCCGACGTGCGCCGCCGCGGCCTGGGACCGGAGCACCGCGTCGGGCCGCGTCGCGCCCGCGCCGCGCGCCTGGCCGAGCGCGTGGGCCCGGAGCCGCAGCTCGTTCTCGACGCGGTGGCAGAGCGGCGTCACGAGCGCCGCCTCGAGGGCCTCGAAGACGAAGGCCGTCCAGCCCGCTACCAATGAACTCTCCGCGTCGTCGACGTGCTGCGCGGCCCTCAACGCCGGCGCGACGTCGCTGACGGCTAACACGAAGAGCGGCAACCGCTTGACGCCGCCGGGCTCGTCCAGGAGCACGTCGAGCATGGGCTGGAAGAGCTCGCGGCTCCAGTAGACGCAGGAGCAGTCGCAGGCCTTCCGCAGCTTCGCCTCGAGGGCCGCGAGGAGCCCGAGGCGCCGGAGGAGCGCGTGCGCGCGGTCCCGGCACTTGCGGACCTCCGCGGCGCCGCCCGTCGTCGACGACCCCTCCGGCGCCGTGCGGTCGTTGAAGGCGACGTGGAGGCACAGCTCGAGCACGCCCACGCGGCTCTGGCTGTACGCGTCGGAGCACGTCACGAGGTGCGTCGCGGCCTCGACGGCCGCGAGCGCGTCGAGGCGCCCCGCGGACGAGTACTTCTTCCGCGCGAGCCGCGCCTTGAGCGGCGCCAGCTGCGCCGCCAGCGCGCCGCTCAGCGCCCGGAGCGCGCCGGACGTGCACTCGGCGATCGACGGCGCGTGGTGCCGCCGCACCGCGTGGTCGAGCGCCTTGAGGCCCTCGACGAGCGACGCGAGGGGCGCGAGCATGGACTTGCTGAAAGGGAGTGCTAAAGCCACGTGGAGCGCCACCGTCGACCGCAGGAGCGCCGCGTGCGCGTGCGCGAGCGCGAGCGCCTGGAGCAGGAGCGCGCCGCGCTGCTCGAGCGCGGCCTCGGCCGCGGCCGCGCCCTTGGCGCCGCCGTCGACGGCGTCGTGCTTCGCGCAGCGCGCGAAGCGCGCCCGGGCCTTGGCGAGCCAGGCCGCGCAGCGCGCGCGGAGCGCCGCCGCGTCGGAGGGCAGCGCCGCGTCGAGCGCGAGGCACGCCGCGCGCCGCGCGGCGACCGCGGCCTCGGGCGCGGGCTCGAGCTTCCGCACCGTCGCGGGCGGCGGCGGCGCGTGCTCCGCGAGGAAGTCGCCGACGAACCAGGGCAGGCACCGGCCGTCGCAGAGCGTGACCTGTACCGATATCTCATCGTTTCCCCACCCCACATCTCTCGAACGTCGGCCGCAGGACGCCGAGCGCGACCACCGGCGCCCGGCTCTGCAGCGCCCAGAGCTGCCGGTACAACTTCGCGTCCGGCTCAGCGGACGGCGGCGCGAGGCGCCGCGAGAACGCGTAGAGCGCGACGACGCCGACGACCTGCTCGCGCTCCGTCGTCTCCGACGCCGTGCCCAGGCCCAGGGACACCTTCTCCAGGAGCCCGCGCACGCCCCGCTCGAACTCCGTGAGCAGCGTCGGGCTGCTCCGGACGTTGACGCGCGTCGCGCCCTCGTCCTCGTCGACGAGCTCCTCGAAGTCCATCTCGACGCAGGCCTTGAAGCAGGCGCCGTGGAGCACGCTCCGCTCGAGGTCCGCGAGGAGGCGCTCGAACTTGGCGAGCCGCGCGCGCGCCGCGGCGCCGTCGGCCGCGCCGTCGAGCTCGCCGGCCCACTCGTCCGGGTCCGTGCGCACGCGCTGCATGAGGCGCTTGTACTCGACCCAGGCCGTCGCCAGCGCGTCGTTGGACTGGATCGCCCGGTCCACCGTCGCCAGCAGCCGCAGCAGATCCGCGAGCGTCTCGAACGCCGGGCAGAGCCGCACGTCGCGGAACGTCGCCGCGTAGGACGCCTCGAGGGGGCTGTACAGCGCCGCGAGCTGCTGCGTGATGTTCAGCGCGCAGGCGTGGCAGCGCTCGACGAAGTTCGCGAGCTCCTGGAGGAACGGCAGCGCGCGGCCGAGCTCCTCCTCGAGCTCGCCCGTCGCGCGCGGCGCGTCGGGGTCGCTCGCCGGCCGCTCGCCGAAGCACAGCAGCGCCGGCAGGAAGTGGGCCTCCGCGAGCTCGCCGAGCTCCCGCACCTCGTCGCCGACGAACGCGAAGACCGCGAGCACCTTGCGGAGGCTCCGCTCGCCGGTCCGCGCGAGCTCAAAGGCCGGCGCGCGCTCCGGCGGCCGCGCGTCGAGGCGCACGCAGGCCGCGAGCTGGTCCCGCGGCGCGTCGAGCACGGGGTCGTTCACCGACTCGCGGCGCAGGGCGAGGAGCGCTTCTTCGTGGTCCTGCGTGAACCCGAGGAAGCGGCCTACGTTTTTTTATGTCATCGCGCGGAAAGCGGTCGAATCGCACGGACCTAGGAGCGCCTCCACGGGCCGCGACCGCGCGTCGTCCTCCGTCTCGAAATCGAGGTTCCAGGGCCGCGCGTTGTCGACGACATCGTCGGCCATAGCTCGCGGCCGCCAATCAAGAAAGCGAAAGCGCGCCAATGGTGAGGTTCACCGTATCTAGGCGTGAAGCAAACAGCCGCGCTATGGAGCTCGGGTTCCACATTAAGCAAGTCGACGCGCGCGCCCGCGTCCCCTTTTCGCTGCCCTTTTGTCGCCACACAGAAGCCGCGCAGATAAACGACTCCCTCCTGGCGATCCACGATGGCGTCGAGATGCGGCGGACGCTCGCCGGCCTCGTCAAGGTCTCCGACTCGTTGTCCTCGGAGCAATCGGAGATCGCGCGCTCCAGCGTTGCATCTTTCCCGCGCGGGGCGGCTCCCGCGACACTTTTCCCCGGTGCAGGTCCACGACTTCTACTTCTACCTCTTCGCCTTCAGCCGCGAGAACCGCTTCAGCCACGAGAAGACGTCGACGCTGCTGTCGATCTGCCGCGACGTCTTCGACGGGGACATGGGCACGAACGACCCCGCGAAGCACATGGGCACGTCCTTCGAGCGCCTCGAGGGCATGCTGCTGCGCCACGCCGTCTTCCGGCCGCCCAAGTCCATCGGCGTCTTCGACGAGGGCGACGTCCGGTCGATCCTGAATTTCATGCTCCACAACTACTACCGCCACTGGCGGCTCTACAAGGTCTGCTTCACGCGGCGGCTCCAGTGCACGTTCACGCAGGTGCTGCCCTTTGGCGTCGAGGAGCCCGCGGCGTACCGGCCAGCGTCCTGCGGCCGTGACGATTTTCGAGAAATTTTGACCGGGAAAACGAAGAGAAATCGCCGCCGTCATGCTTGGTAGGTACCGGCCCCTCGTCGAGCTCCTGCCCCTGGGCGAGGCGCCGCCGGCGGTCCTCGAGCCCGAGCCCGAGCCCGAGGAGGAGGGCGGCGAGGCCGAGGACGGCGAGGCGACGGGCGAGGAGCCGCCGGCGGACGAGGTAGCCTAGGGCGGTAAAGTCCCTTGCTTGGAGCCGAGGCTTGCGAAGCGAACATCCCTGGTGGTGGCCTCAAAACACGACTAATACTCAGCGCGCCGTCTCGCAGACCGCGCAGACGGGCGCGTGCGGTTTCTCGTTGAGGAAGGTGCACGCGCGACACGTCCAGGACGCCGCCGGACCGTCGTCCAGGCAGATGACCTCCTCCTCGCGCGGTCGCGGCGGCGCGACGTCGCCCTCCTCCTCGCGCGGTCGCGGAGGCGACGCGCGCCCAGGCTTCGAAGCGAAGTTGAGCGTCGTCTGGCCCGGCGGCAGCGCCGCGGGCTTGGCCCGGGCGCGCTTCGTCGGCCGCTCCTCCGAGGCGGCGTCCTTCGCGTTGTCGCGTCGCGCGCGGCTCCCGTGCTTCTCGTAGACCTTCGCGCCTCGATCTTGGTCGCCTCGAGCTTTTTGACGGCGCTGACGAGGGCCTTGGCGCGCTTCGCGCTCTCCTTCTCGTCGACGACGGGCCGCGGGTACGTCGTTCCGACGACGAAGCCGCAGGCGCGCGCGACCTCGGCCGGCATCTTCGACGGCTCGTGGCACCACTTCGCGGGGACGGCCCGGAGCTCGGGCACGTGGCGCTTGATGAACGTGCCCTGCGGGTCCTGGTCCTTGGCCTGCTTCGTGACGCTGTAGACGCGCCGCGGCGCCCGCCGCGAGCCGCGCGTCTAGATCCGCGAGCGACTCGTTCGCGAAGTTGACGTGGCTCCCGTGCACCGAGTGGTGCGCCAACTGGTCCGGCTCGTACAAGTACATGACGATGAACTTGCGCCCGCTCTTCGCGGCCTCGCAAAACGGCGCATGGTCGTGCAGCCTCAAATCCTTCTTCAGCCACACGACGTCCATGGCGTCGCCGCGCGCCCGGGCGGGCAGCCTCTGCGGAACGATCGGGCTGCGCTGGCTACTGCGAGGCTGCCACGGCCGATCCGAACCCGCTCTGTGCTCATCATAGGTTTATGATCACCTTTGATTGAGACAAGCGCACGAGCGACCATATCATTCGGAGAGCACCGCTTCCCGTCAGCTCAGCGAAGTTAAGCCGGATCGAGCTTGGTTAGTACTACGGTGGGTGACCACGTTGGAATCCCGAGTGTTGCTCGTTTTTTTTGCCTTTTGCACGCTGTGTTTCTCTTTTTTTAAAACATACTACCTTCTGGAATTGCCCGGGCGGGCAGCCTCTGCGGAACGATCGGGCTGCGCTGGCTACTGCGAGGCTGCCCCTCGCCCGAGTCGGACCTTGAGTGCAACATCGGCATCGTCGACTCCGCTGCGCCGCATCGATTCGCCCGGCGCGCGCGCCGTCGCAGCGTCTCGACGTCCGCGCGCAGCGCGACTCGTGCTAGTCTCCGACGCTATGGACGCCGTGGCCGCGGCAAGGCAGGCGGTCAGGGACGATAACGTAGACGCGCTGCGCGCAGCAATCGCCGCGGGAGCGGATCCAAGCGCATCGATCAACTCACACCAATTTCTTCCGTTGCTGGGGGTCGCCGCAGATAAGGGACGTCTCGGAATTTGCGAGCTGCTTGTGGCCTCGGGAGCGGATGTGAACGCTTCCTCACGCACTGAGTCAGTATTCTCTGCCCACGGCGGCGGCCTTGTCCCCGGCGGCGGCTCTGTCCCCGTGATCTTTTGCGCAGTAGGCGGCGAATCTGGCGCTCATCTGGCCTGTGCCCGTCTGCTTCTAAATGCGGGCGCTGATCCCAACGCTTGTTCTACTCTTCACTCTGAAGGAGGGCCAAATGGAACCCAATACGCACTGAAGCACGCGGTTTTAGGATCAAATCATCAGATGGTGCAGCTTCTCATCGAGAAGGGTGCCTTGCTTGAAACGGAGGACGGGACTGGGACCGCCCTCTTGCATGCTATCGGTCTCGGCAAGCGCAAGACTGCGCTCAAGTTGCTCCGCGCCGGCGCCGCCATGAAAGTGCTGCGCCGCCATGAACTCACGGACACGAACGAGGCCCTGCACGACTTTCTAGCCGACGTGATCAGTGACGGGGGCTGGGAACGGCACGTGCAGCGCCACCGCGATAGGCTCCTGGGCGTCATCTCGCACTGCGTCCGGCTTCCGCATGACGTCAAGGTCGCCATCCTTGGCTTTTGGTCGCCACCGGGTGGTAGCTAGCTGAAGTTAATTCCACGGGAGAGGCGCCGGGTTCAGAATTACTCGGTCTGGCGGATCTTCCGCCGGCGCTCCGCGGACAGAACCTGTTCTTTCCGCTTCTTGGCCCAGGACGTCGGATCGATGGACGGCTTGACGCCGCGGCCGTAGGCCGAGCTCGCCTGGTCCTGGGCGGACTTGGAGCGCAGGTTCTTGTCGCGGATCTTGGGCAGGCGCTTCCGCGGCGACGACCGGAGCGCGGACCGCGCGAGCTTGGCGGAGCGCAGCAGCTGGCGGATCTCGTGGCTCCGGAGCCCGGCGGCGTGGAGCCTGTGTGCAAATCAACCAGTGAGCTGGGACGTCGGGGCCAAACTTCAGAATTCTCTAGCTCGGTCAAATCGAAGTCGATTTGGCTGATTTTTGGACGAATCGATTGCTCTCAGCGAGTTCTCGAAGCACGGCGGAAGTGATTGTGTCAAAACATTCGAATACGCGCACATTGAAGTCGGGTTGAAGATTTGATTTGCACACAGCGTGGAGCGTCGCGCTCGAGATGGCCGCGAAGGACGCCAAGTCGCCGCAGTTGGCGTCGCGGAGCCGCGCGGCCGCGCGGACGGCGCGCGGCGCGTCGACGCCCGACGCGACGAGGAAGGCCAAAAGGAAGCCGTCGCGCACGTCGTCGTCGGCCGACGCCGCCCGCGCGCCGCCGCCGTCCGTCGTCGCCGCGCTGAGGTCGCTCGCGCTCTGCTCGACGTCGACGGCGCTTCGGGGCGACGAGCCGCGGCTCCGCCGCTTCGCGGGGGACGCGGAGTCGTCGCCGCGCTTCTCCGCGGCGTCGCGCTCGAGGGCCGCGAGGCGCGCCTCGAGGACGCTCAGGCGCCCCCGCGCGCGGAGGCTCTTGGCCTCGGCCTCCTCCTGGGCCCGGCGCTTCGCACGGTTCGCGGCCTTGCGCTTCGCGGCCTCCTCGACGGCCTCGGGCGCGGCGAAGAACTGGACCTGGACGATGGGCGCCGCGTCCGGGTCCTCGGGGTTGCCCGGCGTCTGCGACTGGCCCGCGGGCCGCGTCGCCATCGCGTCGTCGGGGAACCGCGGCGACTTGCGCGCCTTCCGCTTCTTCTTCTTGCCCGACTCGAACTGGACGCCCCGCGGCGGCGGCTCGTCGTCGAAGCGCGCGCGCCGCCGCTCGTGGAGCTCGGACGCGTCGGGCTGGGGCGACTCGCGCGCGTCGTCGTCGTCCGCCGGCGGCGGGCTCGCGAAGCGCGCCTTCCGGCCGCCGGGCGGCGGCGTGCCGCCGGCGACCTTGACGCGGGCCTCGCGCGCGTCGTCGTCGCGCGGCGGCGGCGTGCCGAAGCGCGCCTTGCGCGGCTTCGGGCTCGACACCTCCGCCGCGAAGCGCGCGCGGCGCGGGCTCTCGTCGCGCTCGCGGTGCAGCGGCGACGTCACGGACGTCGGCGACGACTCCTTGAGGTCGCCGTCCTTGAAGGCCTCGTCGCCGCCGCGGCCCCGGTCGACGCGCCGCGGCGACCCGCCCTGGGGCGCGCGCTCGACGCCCTTGGGCCGCTCGCGCGCGGCGGCCGCGTCGACGCCGGGGCCCGGCGCGCCCGCGTCGTCGCCGAGGTCGTGGCGCAGCGGGGGCTCCGCGGGCGCCGCGTCCCAGCGCAGCGCCGCCGGCGGCTCCGCCGCGTCGTCCCAGCGCAGCGCCGCCGCCGGTTCCTCCGGCTCGTCCCGGGCCTCGGGCTCGCCGCGGCCGATCTCCGCGTTCGCGGCCGCGATGAGCGCGGCGCGGTCCTCGGGGTCGACGCCGATGGCCGCCATCATCGCCGCGTCCTCCTCCGGGTTCTCGCCGAAGGCCGCCATCGTCGCCTCCTCCGCGGCCGCCTCCGGGTCCCGCGCCGCGAGGCCGAAGCTCGCGCGGCCCTCGGGCTCCTGTTCGCGCTCGGGCATGGGCGGCGGCTCGT